TCCTTCCTGATGCTTTATATAAAAACATGCACCAAGTGGCTGTTGTGAGACATTAATAGCTGTCATCCATACACATGATCATCAATAGGTTTGGCACCTCTGCCTGCACGGAGCGCACAAGTGAATCAGCACACATTTGGGAGGCTCTTCTCCTCCTTTATAGCTAATAGCCGCCTCTTCAACAACCATCCTCATCCTCTTCAATCCATTAGTTCCTGGACAACTGCACTTCTGAGAAGTCGCAAAGTGAGTTAGACAAAGTCAAAGCACTCATCACCCTTTTTCCATTAAAGCTCTGCACATCAATACCTGTCCAGTCCTGGAATACCATCCATCGCTGGCCACAGATCTGCTTTGACTACAATATGCAACTGATGGGGCAGTAACAGGGCTAATAAATGGACAATAGATGTGCATTAAGTTCAGCCATCAGGTTTTAACAGACGTATTAGACTGGAGGAGACGCCCGGCTTTGTTTTCAAGGTTGTTTAAGAATGCTTGTTCTTTTTGAATTGCATTATGCATGAAGTCGCTGGCAATTGCTCAGCCCTGCTCTATTGCTGTAATCAAATGGAGGCTTGTCTGACTGTTGTCTGTACATATATTTTTTTATTTTAACATATACATGTTGTTTGCTCATGAAAATGGAGAGTACACAGTCATGAGTGTTTTCAGTAATGTGCTTCACTTGTAAGATGTATTTTTATTTTTCCCAAAGACTGGGTAAATTACCTTGTGGAGGGAGTATTGCTATTGATTCAAGTGGCATAGTAATTGCTGAGTGAATGGTTGGGTGCAGGCCTTGTTGGTTAGTATGAAGCCATTGATTTTATTCCGCTTATATGCTTTGCAGTGCTCTCAATCAAATCAGAGACAGAGAAGATGCTGTTTATAAATCACAAAAGTGTGCGTGGGTTTGTGTGTATATGAGAGAGAGTGAGAGGGAGAATATGTTATTACCGGGATGCATGTGTATGGGTTTGCCTTGTGCATGGATTTCACACTAATTCATTCTTTATCCTTCATCTTCTTCACCTGAGGGACTGCAGATGAGTTTCAAATGCTTTCAGGGTTTATGTTTCTCTCATCTCTACCCGACGACTGCCATCCAATGATACCACTGACCCAGGTGTTAATCCCCAATTACAAGCCTGTAACCAAACTCATCTTTCCATGCTGCCACAGGGCCTTTGGTGCCATGCAGGAGTTCAGGTGGATCTTCAGTCCAGACTTTTTTAGGGTTTTTTTTTCTCCCTTTATGTGTTTCACTTTGTGCTTCAAATTGACTTTTTAAAGTTTTTATCAATTTTTTTTTTTTTAATGTTCCTTTTAAATGAATAAAACTCCAAGGAATGTTCCATCCGTCTCTTTAAACACCCCACTTTGTTGTAAATTGGAAAAAAAAAGAAAAAGAATAATATTGTATTATTTGTACCCTAGGGATTCCAAATTGCATCTTGGTGATGTGAGTCATTTACTTTATCTGTTTCCCTGTCTAGTCTCAAAGATTAATGTAATTATAAGATGATTTGGATCCTAATTTAATATCCTACTATCTAACAATAGATCTTGTGAACTGGGCCAAAAATTACCACACAATTAGAAAAGGCAATATACAGACCTTTGGAAAGCATGAGCTCAAAGATCCATTGAAAGAGGATAAGTACAACCATGTGTGATATGGTGACTTCTCTGTATTTAACTTGGGCTCGTTAAGTATATACATGTAAAGTCTTTGTGTTTGACTAGAGAATGATGAATTACCTTGGGTCCTGTCACCCGGCCGTCTTTTTTAATGACCTTGTATTTTCAAAGATCATATTTTAGGCAGGCATACAGGATATGATAGCTGGCAGCCAGAGGTAAGACTATATGTTTCCACTAGCTATTCTGCTGTATCCCGATTTAATAAAATAAATAGTCGGACACTTTTTTCTGTGGTGAAATTAGAGTAGTAAACCTTTCTCAGTCTGGCCAGGTTGGGAGGATGGAGAGTGAGTGAGTGAGTGAGTGAGTGAGTGAGTGAGTGAGTGAGTGAGTGAGTGAGTGAGTGTGTCTGTGTGTGTGTGTGTGTGTGTGTGTGTGTGTGTGTGTGTGTGGAAAGACGCAGACAGTTACCAAATGTGCAGCAGAGTGGGTAGACAGTTAAAGGTTTGGGCAGTCACTCTGTTCTCCCTGTCCTTCCTTCATATTGACTCGTCTTTCACCTCCATTCCTGTATTTTCTGCTTTCCTAATCACTCGGCTTTTTTCCACTAATCTCTACTCTGTATCCATTCATGCTGCTCCCCTGCAATTTATCCCTTTTCCCTTCACGTCATTCCAAGCCTCCATTTCTAAGCTAAAGCTTAGTGTGAGTCAGTGATACACTTACATTAATAAATTCATTTTAACAGTAGAATCCAATAACCTTTGAATAACCCAACCCGAACCGAACCTTCAAATTTAAGAGATTCAACCCAAACTGGATCTGTCCATCTAACCAAAAGCTTTAGGGTCTGCTGTGTTCTGGTTCTCAGGGCTGGACTAAATCTCCCAGTTCATCTTAAAAGTCCCCGACTCAATGCCAGTGTGCTGGGAGCGGGATATTTCCCATCTTCCCATTGACTTTATCAGTCGACCCCTCCTAGGCCGGCACCAGAGAGTGCAATGTTTGAGTCCTAAGAGGGAGGAGTGTGACCTCTGTCTGGGGAGGGATGTGATTGGTCTTTCCCTTTGTTTTCTCTCCTCTGACAGTTTTTGACTATATTGCCAGGGATCTGTTTGCCTTAAGGATCTGTGGAAGCCCCTGGGGGCTCATAAAATTCACAATTTTTAAACATTTAATAAGTGAATATCCTGATAGAAGCATATTGCTGCATGTATAGGTCAGTGTCCCAGCGAAGAGCTCTAAGAACGGCAGTGTCAGTGAGTTCAAATCATTTTAGTTTGGCTGGACATAAGGAACAGTGCAGCATCTCTAAGCAACTGTAGATGATTCAGACTCTTGTTTCTTGAAAAACTCTTCAAAGAACTGAATCCTTATTTTCTTATATCACAGTGCTTCATGTTAAACCTTTAAAGCTTAGAGAAACTAATCATTACATGATGTTATTCGTGTGTATTTACATCTTGTACGTGTCTTGTGGCAAACCCGATCATTTCATTCACTTCCATCATATTCCTCCTGCTTATTTCTCAAAAGGTCAACAAGTGACAGAGACCAAACTGACCTAAACGTTCAGTCTGGAAATGGAGCTATGGAGCGCGCTCTGTTTAGAATTTCAGTGACATCTCCATCTTTCACTCGCCTGGATGCTAAAGCCGAGCTAGCGTGACTAAAGTACTTAGTCACAGTGCACCTCGGCAGCAGCCAGGCAGAGTGCTACTGAGGCTCAGGCCTAGCTAACAGGCTTAGGCTACCCTGTCTCTCTCACATCAGTATTTCTCTTTCATTTTGCCTAAACTCAACACTATGGATCCAAACTGTAGGCACAGAGGAGCACTAACATTTAAGAAGTCTGTAGTGTGTATACTTTACACGCTTGACTACACAAACATGGAGTGTAACAATGCAAACAAAAATAGTTACATGTAAAATATAGGATTATGTAACCGCATGTGTATTCATCATGCAAAAATCACACACACGCTAAAAAACACACGCAAGGGTCTTTGGTGTCCCTGCAATGAGAAGAATGTGTGACAGGGACCACCCTGTTTCTGGAACACGCACCCTGACCACCCTGATTACAGTGTGTGTGTGTGTGTGTGTGTGTGTGTGTGTGTGTGTGTGTGTGTGCATGAGTGTGTGCCTTTACTGTGCTTGTGTATGTCTTTGACTCAAGGTACATGCAATCGCTCAATGATTATAGCTATACGTTTCCATTGTCACACATAGTACTTTTGTTTCTCTTGCAGCTCCTCCCTTCCCTCCTTCTCCTCTCTCCTTTATCTTTTCGCCCTCCACCCTCCTTCCTCTCTCTTCCTCTTCTTTTTTTTTTTTTTTTTTTTTTATAATTTCCCCTCCACAATGTGCCACAGAGACAGTTGATAACAGTCTGTTGACTCTGTGGTAGGCTTGTTACTGCTGTTGGTGAGAGAAGTTGCGTATCTTATCCTGCACAATATGGGCTCAGCCCCTCGCGCCAGTGCAAGACTCTGATAATGTCTTGCTGCTGTTCTCATACAATCGATAAGGTCAGTTTATCTGCTGAGCACAAAGCAACTGACTTAGGTGAAAATGGGCATGTAATCAAAGAAAATGTTTTGTTTTTGATGAGTGTTTTATCTTTGAAATAGCTTATAAGTAGTGTGAGAATGATGTGGCTGGTTTTTCTGCTAATTTTCAAGTGTGTGGTCATTTCTGTCACAAGTATCATAGAATATCAAAGGTGAACTACAAGTCGGTTTGTGTCTGTTTTTGAACTGAAATCAGTTCATTGACAAGTTGGTTGTCTGCCGTGTCCCCGTCCCGAACAGATGTGAGTATAGCATCCAGAGATACGAGCATTTGGGCAGTGTGTGTGTGCGTGTGTGTATAATGAGCACTGCGGTCGTTAGCAGGGGAGGGGAGGGGTGTTGTGTCACCGTTCTGTACAACGGGCATGCAGGATGGCACAGATGGTGGTGGAATGAGACCCGTTCTCACTGCAGATTTACGTTCCTCTCCCCGGCGTCTGTCTGTGTGTCTGTCTCTCTCCTTTCTCTCTCGCTCTCCCATTTCTCATCTGACAGTCAGAGCATATGCACCAGTGTCATTGTGGCAAGACACGCAAACGTATGAGGTGGTGAGCCATCTATTTCCAGATCTAGTCTGTCTGGTGCACCTCACAGGAGATTTGTTATCAAATGAAATCCTGCCACTGTTTATGTGCAGGCGATGATACGGTTCTTTCTAGGCACACAGATGTGGAATGTATTGCCCTACGAACTGTTGTTTATTTCCTGTGTTAAGATATCAGCTTATTGTGTTTGGTATGTTATTGTAATCTTTTCCTCGTCTTCTCTGTCTTCCTTCAGATCGCACTGGGAAGCGCTCCACCATGCCCGACTCACCTGCGGATGTCAAGACACAGTCCAGGTTGACCCCCCCTACCATGCCGCCCCCACCCAGCACACAGGGAGCACCACGCAACAGCTCCTACACCCCCACAACTTGTGAGTAAAGCTAGATTAATAAAACTGTGCACGTCACCTCGGATCCTCAGTTGTGTTGTTAGACTTTTGACATGTCAACAGTTGTGTTGGTCTCCAAGTTTCTACAGTAATGTTATCCTAGTGTGAAACACACATCTAACAAAACCATTTTCCGAATTGTTGCATCCCTACATGAAATACAGTGATGATGCTCAAGTGGGAAACCGCGGGACCACTGTACACTGGTCTACAGAAGTATAATTAACACACACAAGGAAAATGAACACATCCACACAGACTAAGACAGAGCAGATACACACGTTCCAATCCTGTCTCCCAGAAATTACATTTAAACTGCAACAGCAAATATGTTTTATGTTTTCGGATCATATTTGGCAAGTGGCAAATACCTTGATACTGGACGTATCAGTAAAACGTTTGTAGTATAAAACCCAGTTGTAGTGATCACAGCATTATTAAACTTTTTACCGGCTGTGTGTAGGCACTCACAGGTTTTGGTTTGGTTTAATACAGAAAAAGTTCTGGTGAGACAGTCATGCACTTTTATCCACCTGCCGTCCACCCCAACCACCTGCTGGTGACTCCGCCGCCCTTAATAAATGTGCGGATTCATTCTTTTTTTTTTTTAAATTACGTTGCCTCTGAGTGTAATCCAGCCAGCGCTTATGTTTCCCACAGAAGGTGTGTGCTGTTTAGTTGTACAGAAACATAAACCGTAGAAGACAGGGTTGTGAGCTCAGACATGCAAAGATGTGTGGTGATTCGCAAAGGAAAATAACCAAAAAAAAAAAAAAAAAAAACATCAACATCACAAGACCGTCTTAACAGTCATTCCCAACAAGTTCATTAACGCCCACGCTTACAAACCGTTGGATCTTTGCCATGACGTGCACATAGCCTGTGACGAGCAAATTACACCCTAGTATTCACTTAGAAGTACATACTTAACCACTTGCATTTAGAGCACTAGAATCAAAGGCCCCTGTGGTTCAAAATGCTCAGAGCACTCAAGTCTGCATTAGCAGTGCTGCTTCTCTGCAACAGAGGCATTATTTTGTTCTCTTTCAATCACCCTTTCTTAGTCTCCAGTATCTACTTTTTCCCTCTCTCTCTCTTTGTATCTGTCTGTCTCTCCCAAACGCTCACACTCCACAATTAACGTCGGGGCTTCCGTGCGATGAGGGAGGAAAGGCCCAGCTCTCTCATTACGCATGCCGAAGGTTTTAACAAAGCAGTGTGCTTTGATTTCCACCCGACGTAATTGTTACCAGATGCAGTTTGAGTATCTCGTCTCTCTCCTCTCTTTACAGTGGCGGCTTTGGACGGCAGCCAGAGGGGGAGTGAGTGGATCGCTAGTCAAAACCTAATCTCATTAGAGAGAAAGCTTTATGCCGCCTTGTATCTCTTTGTACACCAACTCCCCAATAGGCACACACACACACACACACACACACACACACACACACACACACACACACGTACATACAGCTCGCGTGCTCTGGCAGGACGGGGGGTCATACTGTCCCGGCTTGTTTAGACTGCAGGGAAGGAGAGAAAGGGAGGAGGAGGTGGAGAGAGGCAACATGTCTCCAAATGCTGAAATATGTTTTTTATGAGTGGATGCCGCAAAAGGATCAAACAAGCCGCACTGATTGGAAACAAATGTTGAGGATTGTGAATGTTTTCAGGGGAATGTAAATCATTTCAAATCAGTGGTTAGGTCGCCATGAAGCTGACCTATGTTATTCCCTTTGTTGGTGTTTGTTAAAGAGTCAGCGCAGACAGGGTTTCAGGTTATTTTTCACTGAAACAAGAACACAGTGTTACTTGGGACAACAGTGTGTTTCCTTGGAAATGATTTTACCAAAAATATAATCATTCTCATTTTACCCTTCTTTCTTTTAATACTGTTATTTATGTCTTTGTCTCACGCAGTAACCAATGGCAGTAGCCACTCTCCTACGGCGCTCAATGGCGCTCCATCTCCTCCAAACGGCTACAGCAACGGCCCTAGCTCCTCCTCCTCATCGTCACTGGCCAACCAGCAGCTGCCGCCGGCCTGTGGCGCCCGGCAGCTCAGCAAGCTGAAGCGCTTCCTCACAACTCTACAGCAGTTTGGCAACGACATCTCACCTGAAATCGGCGAGCGGGTCCGCACATTAGTGCTGGGACTAGTGGTGAGTGGCTACTGTGTGTGTGTGTGTGTGTGTGTGTGTGTGTGTGTGTGTGTGTGTGTGTGTGTGTGTGTGTGTGTGTGTGTGTGTGTGTGTGTGAGCTGAAGTTTAAAGGGCTCACAGAGTGAAAGCTGACACCAGGTCTTACGTTTGCAGGATTAAGTGAATCAATTAGCAGCTAGTTGAGAAAAATTCTTTGCTTTTGTTTAGCGTGCCTGAAGTACCAGATGGAAGGAGTTTACTGAGCCATTAAAGTTTAAATAGTGGCAGGTTAGTTGTCAGTCACAGAGATGAAGACTTAAATAATTTTGAAATACTTATCGCTGATTAGGAAAACCGCCAGGGGTATTTTTGAAAGGCTTTTTTTTTATTTTCTTATGTCAGAAACCTCACCATCTGGTCCTTCAGGCATAAGTGTAAAATAAACACTTGGAGAGATTTGTAAATCTTTGCCTTCTGGATTGACATCCATCAGTGCTTTCTTCAGTGTAACACAATGCCTGGCAAAACACTGCAAGGACTAGAACAAAGAATGACATCAAACCATCAGACTACCATTTTTATTCACCTGATCCCCCCCAGGATTTAACCGCATTACATTCATTTAAATTGAAATACAACACGCAATGGCTTGGAAAACCGGAGGCACAGAGCAATGAGGATTAGGCTTCTTATTTTAACATCCAACTAATGGTATCACTCAGGTTGTGCAGGTGCCTGATAACCTAACGTGACCCAGCCAGTTGCAATATTAAGAGCTTGTTTATTTATTTAGCATATAAATAGTTGGAAATGCAATAAAATGCTGATTGTGTCATTAAGAGGATACACAAATTAAAGCACTGCTGATGATCACATCTACACCAAATTAAGATCCTGTGAATAAAGTAAATAAAAACAGAGTGTGACATTTAAAATCGCAATTAAAATTTGTCTGACTTCACCAATAATGTAATGCAAAAACAACAATAACAACTGGCCCTATGAAAATGTTCAGATAGAGCATGTGCAGAGATTTCAGCTGACGTGGTGTTATCAAGGCTATATCACCAAGAGCATGTGGTATAAAATACAAATCTACAAGATTTACCACGCGCCCGTGTGATCTGAGAGAAAATTTGAGCATAACGAACAGGGGAATACAGAAATAGTGATTGAATGTTGTGCAGAAAGGAGGAGAAGGAGGAGGCGGAGGAGATGGAGGGAGGAATTTTTTAATTAGCCACAGAGAGCATAGCCTCCTTTTGGCTTCACTATGTTTATTTTTCTCACCGTCTGCATATGCGCATGCCTCTCCTGTGTCCTTTTGGCTTGCATACCCCCCCCCCCCCCCCCAACAATATCTCTCTCTCTCCAACTCTCCCTCTGTTGCTCACTGTCTCTCTCGCTCTCTCTCTCTCTCTCGCTCTGTGTCCCTCCCCCTGCCTTATTGAAAAGAGTGACACTGTTAATTAGCTAGTTGTGTGCTGGAGAGAGGGAGACTCAGGAGGTTTCACTAGCTGTCAAGAACAGCCCCTACGCAATCTGGGCGAACAGATGTAAGGCTGAATGTAACAAAATTCAGGTCTGGGAAATAAGGCTGAGAGTGTGGGGAGGAAAAATAATATCTGCAGCTTTTTTTTTTTTTTTTTTCGTCTTTTTTTATGTTCTCCGACTCGCTTGACTTTTTTTTTTTTTCTTTGTTTGTATTTTTGCTTGTTATATAGCAGATTCCTCTCCCATGTGCATGCTCACCTCTCTCTCCCTCCTTTTCACTCTTTCCCTGCATCCTGGGAAAATTAAAAATAGTGTCACTGCTGTCTTGTCAGCCATTAATGTGAGTTACAGGCAACCACAGAAGAAAAGATATCGAGACTAGACTTTGTTTAGGTGTGAAACTGAAATACATAACCCACTTTTGAAAACACACACGCATACACACTCAAAAAGACACTAAAATAACCACTAAATATCCCCTCCCCCCCTCCCCTGTTTCCTGCACATTTGCCTGGTCCACCCCATGCACATGCAGCTGGAATGTATTTTGGTCACCTTGGTCTTATCTGGTCTGTGAAAAGAGGCAGACAGTTATTCGGTTGGCACTGATGGAGAGAGGTAACACAGGCGCCGAGCATGAAGGCTCATATACTGTGTTGATAAGGACAAGGATGCCATGCGTGCACACATATACAACAGGAAGCTTCTGTGTGAGCTTAGAGATGCATTATTATTTTATTGGACAGAATTTCACTGCGAAAAATGAGCCCATCTTCATTCACGTCACAATGAAGCAGACATGTGAAAATAGACCAGAGCCATTCAAATGCAATGACATTTTTAGCGAAGTATGTAAATGAATGATAAATCCCACCAACGTTCACATTCAAGCCCATGTTCACTTTGTAAAAAAGCAAAAAAAACTAAAAAAACATTACATTTCTGTTTTTATAACATGTAACATATTTGCCTTCTGTGACTCCGGCATGTGTATTTGTTTTGTTAATCGAAGGAGATGTGTGTCTTTGTTTTCTGTGCCTCTTTTCACTGTGGCCTGCCCATATGCTTCCTATTACAAAAACCTGAAACATTCACTCCAGGCCAGGATATAGCTTAGCTTCCAATAAGTAATATTATCGCTTAATGCCTTCCACATGGATTCATGTGTTTTCTCTCTGTCTCTCTCTCCCCTCCAGAATTCCACGCTAACCATCGAAGAATTTCACTCCAAGCTCCAAGAAGCCACCAACTTCCCTCTGCGACCTTTTGTCATACCCTTTCTGAAGGTAGATATTCAAATATACAATTACAACACAAGGGTTTGCCCGCCTGCCTCCCTCCCCGCCCGCCCGAACGCCTGCCTGACGGAGCAAATCTGGAAAACATTTAGCCAGAACAGATCCAGATGCATACTTATGTTCATGATATTTATCCCTATTTTCTCCCTATTTTTGGAGTCTCTCTTCTCTTTGAATACTTATCTCTCTCTTATATCTATCCCTAACCTGGTTTCTCTTTGCTTGTCACTCAGTTTGTCTGCAACCTCACAAGCTACTGTTGCTCTCTCTCTCGCGGTCTCTCATGTCATCTGCTTTTTTCTCTCTCTTGCTCAGTCTGTCTGTTTCTCCCTCCTCCAAGTTAAATTGCGCACAAGTCGTTTCAGTGCTGCCTCTGTTTGGTTCTCTCTTTTTAACCTAGAGTTTGCAACTTTGTTCGGACTATAATTTTCTGCACACTATTTGAACTGGAAAGAAGTTGGGTTTTTTTATATATTTTAAAGAAACTTGTGCTGGAACAGAGCACAATGAATGTGGTTTTGGCACGAGGATATCATCCTGTTTCATGCGCTCCTCTCCGGCCTCCTTCTCCTCTTTCTATCAGGCTTGTTTTGTCATCGATTCTTCATCCCACTAAAGCCACATTTTCAGCAAGTATTTCCCATTTTCAGCCATTAGCATGGTATATTAGCAGAGGAAGGAGCACTCTCTCAAGCCGTGCCCTTGCTTCAGCCCATTTGTCACCGGTCACCTTGTGAGATAAAAATATAGAAGGATGGTGTTTTTTTTCTGTTTGTATCTACAGGTGAATTAGTCACCATTTATGTGCATATTGTGCCAAGTAGGTTTCCCCTCAATCCTCTTCTTCTCTCTGTCCCTCGTCTATCCCTCCATTCCCTGCTCTATCTGTTTGTGTCTGAGTGACAGGCATGAGGTAAATGTTATTTATGAAAACAAGGCAGTTAGTTCCCCCTGACTACAATATTGTCTCATCTTCTGCTGCTTGTGTACGCGTGCTTGAATGAATCTGCAGATGTGTGCACGTGTGACCTGACATTCACAAGTTTATATTATCCACTGAGGTCCTGTGTGGACGTGGGCTGCAGAAACTGGTCCCACTAGGGCCGCCATTACTGGCTGTTAACAACACAAACAGGGACTGTGTGTCCTTCCTTACATCCTTCCCTTGTCCTTAAGTTTTCCTTGTCTCTTTCCCTTTTCATTCACCTTCTCATTTGTTCTTTCTCCATATCTTTATCCCTTCCCTGTCTCTGTTTATCTACTGTTTTCTATCCATCCATCCATCCTCCAGTCCCTCCTTCCCTTCTCCTCGCCTCGCCAGATGGTTAGTGTATCACTGGGATAGCTGCAGAATCAAAGATGCAACTTGTTTTTTTTCCCTCCTTCGCTCCTTCTCTGCCTCTCTCTCTCCCCAGTCTAATTTTAGTGTCTTCCCACTGCGGGGCCTTTAATGCCAGCTACCATATGGTAGCAGAGAGCGGTTGGAGGTGTGGGGGAGCTTTTATAGGTGCGTTGAAGCACAGCTGCAACAATGCGCATCAGGGCTCAGAGTTTTTCATTACGCTAATGTTAGACCAAGCCGACCCCTCCGGTCTGCCCCCATCCCCATCCCCTCCCACCCAAACCCACTCAACTCCTTTCCCCTTCTCTTAATACTAAACCACAAATTGGTTGGGACTCTTTACTGGAAGGAGGCAATCAGAAACCACACAGCTCCAGTGACGTGATGTGTTGGCAGGACGCCTGCCACACGAGACAACAGGCTTACAAAGTAACAGTGTTTCTCTGTTTTCAAGTTAAAGTTGTGCTTATTTTAAGTTTGCCTTCATCCTAGCTGTCAAGTGTTTTGTTTTTCTTGTGTCATGCAGAAGTGAGAGGAGTGCCGCGACACAAAGGAATAAACACATTTAGCTAAGGAGAAAGAGAGTGGTGATAGGAAATAATTGAAATAGGACAAAAACAAAGTCACCTCGATTCTCATCCAGCAGCAAATTACACAGAAACAGAAAGCAGATGAAGTGCAGCATATCCTGAACGTGGCATATTCTGAATTGTTTTTTGGCACCATTTGACAAAAGTGACAGATCCAACATTTTCACAATAAATCATCCTGAGCAGGGTTTAGCTGCGGCCGCTGAACGAACACTACTTGAAATTTTCCTTTTTATGTACAGATGTTGGTTACCATAACTACACAGAAGCAAATCTCCATATATAGTTTATCATATGACAAAATGATCCGGTCTCCTCAGTGGTCTGCATTTCTTGACTCAGACTTTTTGTTAATGCATCCCACATCTCTGGCAATTAGGATGACCTCTAATTAATGAAAGATGAGTTCACCAGGGTCAAAGCAATCTATTTTATGCTCTTTTTTTCAGAGGGTAATTACGATCATAAACTATTAACGGACCATTAACTCAGGCAGGTAGAGTGAAGGCCAGTGCTTGGCATTTCTTTTACAACCAATTACTGGCGAGGGATTTTTGTATGATTATGAAACATAAATACCAGTAAAGAAATCACGGTTGTGTTAGTATTATTTTTGTATGCAGTTGGCAAACACAAGCTCGAATGGTCAAAGACATGGAAGCAAATTCATCAGCTAATGTAGGACAAAAGGAAAATAAAAAGGATGGAGTGAATAAAAGACTAAAGCATGGAGAAGATTATAAAACTGGAAGAAAAATAAAGAAAAGAACAAACCAAGCGAGAGCCTGAGAGAGAGATTATGTTATTGAGGACAAAACAAAGATTAACAGACCTAAAACTTACAACGATGGCCCCTCCAAAGGATCTTGTGATGTACCTCGCCAAAATAGCCCCCACTCTCATTCTGAACCTGCCTGATGCAACACTTTCATCTTCTTGCTTCAAAATGCACCCCATCAGATGTCTTTGAAGTCGATGCTCACATACCTGCATGACCCTGTAACTCCGCACAAGAAAGCAGACCTCCTTGTTATGTCAAAGAGATTGAAAATAGCTGCTTTTTCTTTAAAAAGAGAAAGTGTGTGCGCCATAGAGAGAGTGTTAATGCACCTTTGGATCACAGGAAGTGGTCGTGGTTCAGTGGTAATGAGCAAACAGGGGTTAGATGACATGGAAGAAATGGAGCTCTTGTGACCTCAAATTGATGTTTTTGGAATGGAAAGACCGTAGAGAAACTTTTCATATTATTATGACAGCATATTTTTATGTGAGTTTGCTGTGTTTTGTGAGGTTTTATGCTTTATCTGATGTATTTCCTGAAAATAAGCTCAGAGTTGATTCAGTTTGTAGAGCTTTACATTTTGACATGCATCAGTTTTATTGAATTTATCTCTCTTAGGACATAAAACATCAATAACCTGTCATATTTTATCCAAGAGCATAAGTACAACTTGAATATTTCAAGTGCGTATTTCCTCTTTTAAAAGCCTAAGTCGACTTTAATTACCGCTGCAGCAACACAGACACAATATATTTTCATTATATGATTTTTTTTGCTGTTCCAAAGTTTTGTCATTATGTTTTCACTACAAGATGGGGCTGTTAAAGATATTTAAGTATACACAGCTCACAGCTGAAAAAGGAAACAGAGAACCTCTTAGAAAGAGTGTGTACTTTGTTATATTTGTTGAAAGGCAAAAAGGGCTGATGTGATGATTATATTCTTGCTTCTTCTTCTTCCCAGTGTACAAAAAGCAGCTTCCTCCGATAACTCAGTGCTGTTTGTCTCCGTAGGCCAACCTGCCGCTTCTTCAGAGGGAGCTGCTGCACTGTGCCAGGCTGGCCAAGCAGAACCCAGCTCAGTACCTGGCCCAGCACGAGCAGCTGCTCCTGGACACCAGCACCACCTCCCCAGTCGACTCCTCTGAACTCCTGCTGGACGTCAACGAGAACGGCAAGAGAAGGACTCCAGACAGGTGGGTGAAGCAGAAAGTCAGAACCACTTTGGAAATAGGATTTTAGTATTGAATGCATCCTAATTTGGGTTTGAGTGGTTACACAATGACAGGGATCAGAGTGTAGAGTTTATAAATTTACCAGCTCTGAACATAAAAGCAGCTGAGGCTTCTTACTCTTCTATTATTTGATCTCATGCATTAATCCCTTTGAGTCTGCCTTCATCCCCATGAGCCCATACATTACGCCACAGACACAAGCTGAGCCAATACAACGCAATCGTGTGATGTGTTAATGTATGTATGGGAAGTGTCTGTCAGTGCGCCACTGGGCCTCATGACGTGCTCCGTTGGACATCTCGGCTCCCAGCTCCGATTCTTAATGGGCCAGAACTGAGGAGTGGAGGAGATAGGAAAAGTAGACCTGGACACACACACATGCTCTCTCACACACACACACACACACACACACACACACACACACACACACACACACACACACACATCCTGAGGACGGAAGAAAGACCCTTAAGTGTGGATGTGTGTGAATATCATTTACTTCCATGCTTGATAGGTTGAGTAAGTACAGCGTGTGTGCCTGTGTGTCTCTCCCAGCCACATCATTACAATCATTTGTTGTCATGGACTTTCGGCGATGACTCAATGTTCCCTGCTCTAATGGACGAGCAGTGAGACGTGCCGTCCAGGAACACACAGATGACCAGTGTTGAACATTTGTGCATGTTTAAGACTGTGGCTCATTCGCAGCCCAATAAAGTAAATAATTATGTGGCAGAAATGGGCAGTACGACTAAAAAATAACTTTATATCCAATCTATATCCATATTTGTATGAATTGCTTTACAGAGGCATTTTACAGAATAAAAATAACTGACACTGAGAAACCATTAATAAACGCTACTAGATAAGCACAGATCCATATAAACACTCTTTCTTGAAACATTATTAAGCATTTTTAACTTCTCGGAAAGAGGTTTGTGAGCATTTATGTGTTTGTGCTTTGTTGTGACTTTGTGCCTGTGCTACGAGCACAATGTGCACATGGTCTTTGGAAATAAAAGAGTAATTCCCGGGGGTGTCAAATTTTTAATGCAGGCAGGGGGAGAGGAAAATGTACTTTTTATATCTGCTGAGGGACAAAAATGCCAAACGCGATATTAATAATTCTCACCTCTCTTTTCCCCCAACAGTCGGATAGGCAGACTTTTTCTGTAATACCTGCATATTTGCAGGCCGTCTGGTGCATAGGGGAGTGAGCTTAGGGGAAAAGATGTGCGTGTAAATGTGAGAGAGAGAGAGAGAGAGAGAGAGAGAGAGAATATATGGAGAGAGGGAGAGAGAGAAAGTACGTTGGCATCTGTATTCAGTGAGAAAATGTGGTGTGTTTGTGTGAATGTGTGTGTACATGATTCTCTTTCCAGTGTGAAAGTATAAGGATGGTTCATGTATGTGCACCTCTGTATGTGTTTGTGTGTGTCTGTGTGTGTGTATGTGTGTCTGTGTGTACCTAGGGAGATGGGCTGATAACACATACAGATGAGGCTCCAGCACCAATATGGCTGGCTAAGCACCTCTGCTTTCTGCTTACCTCTGCTCTGCATTTCCGCTTATTGGAGCCCTGTGTTGGAATATTGGAATTTGAATAGGAATCCGTAATTACAGACAACAATGCACTAGCAATTCACCCTGATTAATACTGTTCTTTGCAGAAAAAACAGACCAGGAATATCACAGTACAATATGCATATAAGAAAAAAATATATAGATATAGTGTGGTCTGTAAATCCTCGAACAAAAGGCGATATTTAAATAGCTGGGAGTGCAAAATTACTGGTACGTGTACTGTAATGGCTCGCGTGGTGAATTCAGTATAATTCAGCATATTTTCACAGCATTAATTTCTTCAATGGCATACAATATAATTACCCAATACTCAACACTCCACTGCTCTGAGTGTCTCTTTTTAGCAGAAATACTCTTCTCACTCACTAATTGATTAATTCTGATCCGTTTCGCTTGCTTTTGTTAATGCAAGCAACACGTATTGCAGCTGTTTCACAGTAAAAGTCTTCCAGGCAAGTGAAGGCATCATGCCCCCTGAAAAACTGAAAGGTTTGAAATGTGAAATAGGAGAAATGTTGAATTTGTATAACAACAAAAGGGGAGCAGATCAAAAAAAAAAAGATTTTACGAAAATATGATAAAAATCTACTCATTAAACAAGGGATATAAAAAATAAAAGCCCTGTCTCTTGTAACAGCCAGTCTCAAATTAAGCATGAGTCTTTCTTCAGCCGAGAAAAAAAATACTAATAATATATGTTGCTTATTATGAGAAGCTGTATAATCACATTACCATAGGGACAATGTGAACTCAGTTTTTGAAATCTTGACACGTACTTTTTTGTGTGTGTGCGTGTGTGCGTGTGTGCGTGTGTGCGTGCGTGCGTGCGTATGAGTGAGAGTGCATTAGTCATGAAAGAGCAGGGGTCAACAAGTTTGTGTCTTTCATAAATAAATATAAAACAGTATTAAAATGGCATGTGCATGTAAAATTGGGTATATATTTATCTACAGTAGCTGAATTATATGTGCACACATGATTGGACTGTATAGGTGACTGTGAACGTGCATGCATGTGTGTACTCCAGTGCCTGTAGATATAAACATTGTTGCAGCAGGAAGGCTGGGGAGATAAGAGTGTGGTTGGTGGGGGGAGAAGAATGGATGGATGAGTCAAGGGAGGCAGGGAGAGACGGACGGATGGAGGGAAAGAGCATATGGAGAGCTGTGGATGAGCATTAGGAGCCCATAAAAACAGCTCATTAAGAAGTTCAATCTGTTCATCGGAGAGAGAGATGGGAAGGAAGAGAAGGGGGGGGGGACTGCAGATAGTCGGGGGAGGTTGGCAAGATTTAACTGTGAACTGACAAAGCTAAGAACACACACACACACACAGACATCTAGACACACATGTGCAAGCACACACACACACACACACACCTGGCCACATTAATCTTCGGAAGCAGGCTGACAAAAATCCACCTGATCCCCTGGAAACTTACTTGTGTGTGTGTGTGTGTGTGTGTGTGTGTGTGTGTGTGTGTGTGTGTGTGTGTGTGTGTGTGTGTGTGTGTGTGTGTGTGTGTGTGTGTGTTTGGTGTGTGTGTGTGTGTGATCATGTTTTCAATGAAAGAATTCCAGGATGATTCCAGGAAAAACATTTTTTTTATGGAAGTTCCTTTGTCTGGTAAGAGGTTGGATTCAAAGCTTCACTGCAGCACAAAGGGCCGGAACAGTTGTTGTGATGATATGTTTCATGTTGGGCTCTTCTATGTAATAACTAACAAACAAATTTTGAATCAGTCATTTTTACAAAATAGGTGTGATATAAAAATCACACTGTGCCTGTGTCCTCTCTACTCCCTCTTTTATTTCCTTTTTCTTTTCTCCTGATCCATTGCGCCACAAGAGGTCTTTTGTTATTTGCCAGGCTGTCACTGTAACAACAATGTGTTCAAATCTAGTAACAACAGCAAACAATCCAGCCATATTTGGTCTCATATTCAAATCTTATTTTACATGCAACAAGTGAAACATTTTGCTAGTAGGATGTAATAATTCTACTTGTTCTTGATCGTCTGTCTGTTGTTTCAGGGTTCTTGCAAAAAAAAAAGATAATTTCTACTAGAATCAAATTGAATTATGGCACCTCACTGGGAGAAAAAGTCGGTCACTATACAGCGTTAGATGCAGCTCAAAAATCATCATTCTCTGTCTCCTCCCAGAACCAAAGAGAACGGCTTTGAGCGAGATGGTGCCCTTCACCCAGATGTTCACCCCAGCAAAAGGCCGTGCACCATAAGTCCTGCCCAGCGCTTCAGCCCATCCAACGGGCTCTCCTACCAACCCAATGGCCTGCCCCACCCAGGCCCACTCCCTCCGCAGCACTACAGGCTGGACGACATGGCCATTGCCCATCACTATCGAGACACCTACAGACACCCTGCTTCCAATCATCGGGAGATTCGGGAGAGAGCCAGGTCCATTGGTGAGAACATGTGGGAGGGTATAAGTGTGTGTGTGTGTGTGTGTGTGTGTGTGTGTGTGTGTGTGTGTGTGTGTGTGTAAGTACATTTGGATTTTGAGACAAAAACTAATCCCAGTACATGGAAAAGCGTCAAAGAGAAACATAAAGAGGATTTCATATACAAAAGTATGCAGTTACAGCAGTTACATCACTTTTACATCATTTCTCAGGCTTCTCACGTCTTTATATACCAAGATCAGTAATTTTAAAAAATAATGATAATCAGTCAATGTCCAATACAGTCTGGTGGATGTTTGTTGGTGTAGCATGTGGACAGTCTGAGGCTTCAAAGAGCAATACACCAAAACTTAGGCCACTGAAACCTGATGGCAAACTGAAGTGATGCACTGCGACGTGTATGATCACACAACAGAGGCGTAGTTTTATTTAGGCAGTGTCGTTGTATTAGAGACATTTTTCTGTGTAGAGTAGACCAAGCCTTGATGAAGCTATAATGACGACTTTGGCTCTGTGCCAAAAATAGGGGACATTTACCATGTCTTGCCTTGTGATGAATGTTTATTGGGCTAGAAGCTCCGTTATTTGAGTCCTGCCCTCAGGGTGGGAGAGAGCTATGGAGAGACAGCAAAGAAAATGGGGAGGGAGGAAGAGAAAGAAATGGATGGAGAGAATGTGCCAACCAGCGACCAAATGAAGAATGGATGAAAGGGTGCGCAAGCAAGTGCTAGAGTAATGTTAAATTGATCCTCTGTGTCATGCTGACTTGCCCTTTGTTTATCCTTCTATCTGTCTGTCTGTCTATCTGTCTTTTTTTTCTTTCTTACAGGAATGCATGCAGGGACCAGGCAGGAGGAAGTGATCGACCACAGGCTGACAGACAGAGAGTGGGCTGAGGAGTGGAAGCACCTTGACCATGTAAGAAAAGTAATAACATTTTTTATTACTATACCTTACAGTTGTGTCTCTGTAAGTAACAGAGATTAATAAGCCCTCGTTTCTGTTATTTTGAAATTATTAAATTTTAACACACTGTATGACATTCTACTATAAGTCTCTGTTACACTTTGTGAAAATTTGTTTTGTTTGAAAATGTGCGTTAACTGCTATATACAAAATAAAAAAGACCTTTACATGTTTTGTGGACTGTTTTAAAAAACTGTTCAAATAGATAAGCCAAAAGAAAGGTTTGACATTATATGAAAATCAAGAATAGTCACAATTTTTTATGTACATAAAGTAGAGACATGTGTGCATGCCTGCATGTAAATATGTTTGCCTACAATGAAAATACTGATAAATTGTTGTCTGCGTGTTCAGCCTCAGCATTTTTTAATTCCAGTCCCTTTAAAGATTCAATCTGTAACTTTCTGCATGTGCAAACAGACATACATGAAATATGACAGAACACCTAGTGTCACATGTGTGATGCTGTTTCACCTTACTGCAGTGAAAATTGAATCAACCAATCACATAATATGAACATGAATATATTAATGATTGACATGGTGAAGTCAGAGTAAAGTGTGATCTGAAAAACCTGATCAAGATTTCAACAGTGAGTGTATTTATACAGATGAATAGACAAATGTCACCACTAACTAAAATATCATAACACATGACAGATACAGCTTTAATTTACGACCCCACCACATCCTAACTGAGTTTCAATGAATCCACTCATATCTATGTGTAAACTCAGCGCCATGTCTGCTCCCTGTCATCCCCCAGCTGCTGAACTGTATCATGGACATGGTGGAGAAAACAAGGCGTTCACTAACAGTATTGCGGCGGTGCCAGGAGGCCGACCGTGAAGAGCTCAACTACTGGATCCGACGATACAGCGACGCTGAAGAGCTTAAAAAGGGCACCACTAGTGGGCAGTCAAGGCAGCAGAGCCCCACAACACAGGAAAATGCAACATCAGGTAGGAGATCACACATACATGTATTAGAGTTATTAAAGATTGTAAAAAAAAAAAAAAGTATACGTAAGACTGCTCCATTAAGTTTCACTGGCAAACTTAACGTGATTCCAACAAATACCAAATAACCAGTTTGTCAAATGTAGTGAATTATTCCTGTTTTCATGTTTTTGAGACAATTCAACGTATGCTCTTCTCTGGTATCTCCACTTACTTTTTCTCCATGGGTTTATATTTTAATAAACCATCAGTAGCATTTAATTGTTTGAAATATTCATTCCACCTCTGTTCATTCCCTCCACTCTTTTGAATGTACAAGTACTGTAAACACTTCCTTGAAATCAAATTTTTCCTAGTTTCTTAAATATGCAGCTGTCAAACCACATACTTAACAGCCTCATAATTATCAAATACAAACTGATCTAAAATCTTCCATTCTCACTTAGCTGGCTTGCATTCTACATGAAAAACTTTCTCCAGCAGTTTTATGTCTAGAGAAGCTGATACTGAACGTGGAGTCCCCCAGGGTTCAATTCTAGGTCCTCTACCATTAAGTCTGATTATCCCAATGACAGTCAGTTTTACATATCACATATATTTTTACATGAGTCCTGAGTAATTTTACAGCTCACTAGTTTATTGCATCAGTCACAAAAAATGGACATTTAGCTTTATTCCTGAAATCCTTTGACAGGAATATCAGAATAACCAAGAGGTTTTATAACAAGCGGATTTGTTTTACAGTCTTTTTGCATTATGTCATGCATGTGTTTGTGTCTTCCCAGAAATTCACAGGGAGCTGCTTCATCGGCCTGTGTCTGGCTACGTCCCTGAAGAGATCTGGAAGAAAGCTGGTAAGCTGAACTTTTATGCCACCCCCACCCCCCACCCCACACCCCACACACACACACACACACACACACACACACACACACACTTTTCTCTCTGTTTCACTCTGCAGTTCTTTTTAGACATTTTGCCTTGTTGAAATCAAGGCCATCTTTTTCACCCGGATGACTGAGGGCTGGAAGTGGTTAAGAGACGCTCCTTTAAACCCCATTCTCCCGTCTCATCCCAGTACAGTCTGCTGTCCACAACCTCCTCCCCTCACAGAGCTGAATTTAAGTGTCAGGCTGCTCTTAGAAAACCATTTATATTTGATACAGTAGGAAGTAAAAAAATAAGAGTTTCACCACCACACTCAGCACACTCCAAATATGATGTCAGGTAGTAAAATGTTTTTATTGCACCAGTCAAATAAGGGACATAAGTAGCTATTACAGCTGGTCCAGTGGTTCTGCTGTTAAAAGTACAGTAGCAAGATTAGGTATCCTTTTGCTTTTGGCATTTTATAATCCCCTCAGCGATAGACATTGCAGCTATTCTATTTAAGAAAGTGATGTAAAATTGTGGAGGCAAATTTGTTGAGCCAGTTAAGATCAAGTATCGAAACTAATTTGTTGCTTTAACAGCTTTCATTAGCTGCCATTAAATTTGTAGTGTACACAAACAGCATTCTTTAAACTCGTGAGTGCAGCTGCAATCATCATTATCGCTGTCCTGAAAAACTGAAAGAATTTTCCGCTGAGGGTTCAATGCTTGAGGAATCCACTTTGTTTCCACCGTCAGTGATACAGTATATCTGCTTTTTAAACCCCTTGGAGAAAAGAAATTGTCCCCTTGCTTGACCAAGCATGATGTGTGAGATACTCAGAACAAGTAATATGCATTTAAATTGAATTGAGTATCACCATCGGGACTCTGCCTGCTCTCCAGTACTCGCCTCCCCTCACCAGCTTTGATCGATCTTCCATCTAAGGCATTTGGTGTGTAATCACAATTCCATGCACAAGGCATATATCACACGGCACCAGGGCAATTTCCATGACTTCAGGCAGCACAGTAGGTTAAATACAAAACCACCCTGGTTTAAAAATTTAGCTCAGTCACAATGAAGAGAAAATGTCTCTGTCTTTAGAAAAGCACACATTCTTGTGTGTTATTGAAACAGATTTTACATTTGTAATACATGTGTAATTTGTACAAAGGAAATGAAGTAAAGTGAAGCATATTTGTCAGACATAAACCTGTATTTATCTTTTGTTTGTAAGATAAATGGTGACTGCTATTTTTCATTCTCTCTGCATTCTTCGTATTTCTGCTATCCCTTTCACTTCAGTCGCACATATTCTGGCTGATTTAAATGTAACCCAGGGAGGATTGCAAAATAGGATTTTTAACACAATGGAGTGTGGCGGTGAATACATCTGTTTGAAATGGGCAAAATGTTTACAGTTGGTGATAAATATTCAAGCACCTTGCACGGTGTCCTACTGGTTTCCCACTTCCCCTCACCGCATGGGCCTCTGGGATCACAATGGAAATGCATAATTTAAATATAAATTGCCTGATTTGCATACACAATTAGTCAAGTTACAGGCTTGATGGGAGCAAACAAAAAGCCCTCCTTTTGCGTTGACGTTCGGTTGGAATTCCACCGCTTAACACCCGCACAGCAAGGTTATTCATTCCACAAAACAAGTATAAAATAACATATTGCTCCAGCTCATAAGCACATTTTCTGAGTGATTACCTGGGATTAATTGGCTCACACTGTTGTCCCGAGGATATTTTTCAAATTAAAAGAAAAAATGTATACATTTAGTTTGCTCATCTTCAAATGAGATCATTCCAACTTTTTTTTCAATTAAAACATCACACATTGACCCATTTGACGAGCTACTGATTAAACATGCCACAGTCACATAAGAATTTACTAATTAGATGGTGGTTGACAAATATGATTTCCTGAAGTAATTTAATGAAAGTAAAGAAACTCATGGGTCTTGTGATAATGTGCTCTGTATTCTCTATGTGCAACATTCAGATTCGATGTCAGAAGCTGCTCTACGCTGAAAGCTGAAAGCTGAAAGCTACAAACGACAACAGCCGCAGTAGTTTTGTTTGCCATGTGAAATAATTCTCATCATCTCCAGATCTACAAAATACGTCTTTGCGCAGATTTTGTCCTCAGATAAAAATGAGTGAAAGCATCGGTTTTATGGCTACAATTTCTGTCCTCCAGATGTGTTACACATTTAGCAGATGAACCAGCCTTTACCATTAATCTTTTTGAACGCACAATCTTAGATACCACTGCTTTCCAATTAAACTTTCAGAAAAGTGTTACTGTGTTTAAAATAGTGGACACACATTTTTAAAGTGACACATTAATTTTGAATGCTTTTCAGAAAGATCTAACTTTCTCTAACATGCTTATTCCCATATAAAGTGTACATGAGTGACTATTTACATTTTGCAGTCTACTAATTGAACATGAAGTCCCAACGACAGGGTGATATAATGCGAACTACATTGCAGGTTCGGGAGGCTTGACTTCCTCTGTCTCCACACTCTTTCCAGAAGAGGCAGTGAATGAGGTAAAGCGGCAGGCCATGTCAGAGCTGCAGAAGGCCGTGTCAGAGGCCGAGCGCAAGGCTCACGAGATGATTAGCAGCGAGCGGGCCAAGATGGAGCGCACGGTAGCCGAGGCCAAGCGGCAGGCGGCCGAGGACGCGCTCTCCATAATCAACCAGCAGGAAGACTCAAGCGAGGTAGGGACATACACACACACACACACACACACACACACACACACGCGCACTTTAAAACTTCAAAAGGTGTAATTTTGACTATACTTTTGATGTCAGCTCATAACAAATCATTGTACAATATCTTTCAAATTTTAAAGATGTTGCTGAGTATTTGCGGCTATAAAAACATTCCTGCAAATAGATGTTATTTTATATTCAAGAGATGGAGCAAAATGATTCAAAACAAGGTTAATCAAGCATCGATTACCCTCGCTTTCCTGCCTCCTCTTAATTTTTTCCGACAGAGTAGCTAACATGTTTAGAAAGGTGCTACCAATTCAGCTGAGAGGAAAGGAGGGAAGGAGCTTTCATTTGCTAATCACCATTGGAGACCTTGACGTTTAATCAGTTAAGTGAGAGGGATATATGTCTCACATCTGATGTTAATTGCAGGAGTGATGTTTGTGTGAGAGGTGCCCCAGAGGAGAACTTTCAGAAGCTGTTTGTAACCTTGTTCTCCTGTTTCCTGTGTATATGTAGCGGCCCAGACATGCTCTCTCTGCGGTTTCTAAGATATATAAGAGGCCCTAAGTGCAATAAGAGATGGGTTTTTCATCTGTCTGTGGTTTGTTTTAAGCTTGTTGTAAAAGCAGAGGTTTGCTCTGTTAATGTGCAGACTGGTGCACTGATATCTGTTGCTAATCTTGGTGTCGTGTTCGCTACTTCTCTGTTTGATGTGGCTGTCTGCCGTCATTCACCAACCATGATTATCTTTTTGCGTGAATAGAGGCACAAAATAAAACAAACAAGGGTTCCTGATTACAGTTTTATCAGTTATCAGAGAAGTTTATCAGCTGAATGAGCCAACAGTCTGTGTGACTGTGAATCCTGCTGCTGAATAATTTTTTTGTCTTAGTTAACTTTGTCTCTATCTGTCTGTCAGAGCTGCTGGAACTGTGGCCGCAAGGCCAGTGAGACATGCAGTGGCTGCAACACGGCGCGCTACTGCGGCTCCTTCTGCCAGCATAAAGACTGGGAGAAGCACCACCACGTCTGCGGTCAGACCCTCCAGGCCCAGCAGCAGCAGGCCAGCCAACAGCAGGGAGCCGTCCCTGGGTCAGAGACCCCTGCTCCCATCAGCTCATCGGCCTGCACCCCAAGCAGTGGGACTGGGAGTCCGGCTGCTACCCCGCCTGCTGCTACCCCTCGCTCATCCACCCCCAGCACCCCATCCTCCTCTGCCCTAGACGGCACACAACGCTAAGAGACTCGGATGGAGGCAAAAGGCCTCCCGGGCCTAACAGCCAGCCCTCAACCCCACAAACAGCATGACTGTCTACATTGCCTTGCAAAGATGCTAAGCCAACATGGCTAACAGAAAGAGATGGCAATGCTTCTGTCTATCTTGCAGCGTAGTCATAGAAGGAGGAGGAGGTCCATAATCAGGTCATATTGACTTGCCATGACTTTAAAGAAACACAAAGATATTCTTTGTTTTGAATGAATGAATTTAAATATTGACATCCTTTTATCGTTACACTTGCTATTCTTGTTGTCCGTTTGTCGTTGTGCCTGTTGTTGTTAATGTTGCTGTCATTGTAGCTTATCTTATTTTCTCCTGTAAATACAAGACTGAGACTGAGCAGAGATTGCCATGAACTCAAGACATGTATATCTGACCTCCCCCTTTTTTTTATGTTTTTATTTTCCATCCTTGAATTAACGCTTATTTCCTTCCTGTACCTGGGACATGAGACTAATCAACCTCAAGAAGACATTTTAACAAACAGCATACCAAGGGAACATAAGTATTTAGCAGAATGTCAGAAACATTCTCTGTAAGGAAAGAAATTAGATTTAAATACTCTGAAAGACACACTGACGGATGGATACATAAACAAATTTGCTGCCTGGAGAGGGGAGAGGGATGGACTGAATCTCTGGTCCACAGACTGCTATGAAATGGGCAGATGTGCAGCAGATTGCAAGCAGAGCCAGCTGTTCAACCAATGTTATTTCCCTCTCACTTGTAATAATATCCAGGTCAGTGGGCTGGGAAATACAAATCCATCTCCCTGAAGGATGTAAAGGGAAGAATTCTTGGACAAGATACAAAACTTTGCCCACTGCACATGTGGAGGATGTACTGACTACAATTCACACGTGCATGCTTGGGGGGGGGTGGTCGGTGACATGCTTTGGGGGGGGGGGGGGGGGGGGGTCACAGAAGCTCTCAAACAGGAAGTGAAGTTGTCATCCTACTGGTGAGACTGTCAAATCACCTGGACAGCAGCCGCTGGGCCATGCAGAGCTGAAAACCTACAGTGTGGAGACTCACCCCAGACGCTCCCCTCCTGTCTCAACTCTGAAAAACATTTTCATCTTTCTTCATGTTCTTTTTCTATAGATGTCATGGTGTTTAAGACTTCTGTCCTGTGGTGTCATCAATGGTTATTTATTGTATATGTGTTGGACAATTGTGACAATGCATAGTACTTCAACCAGTCACAACTCTAAGTCCTTCATAACGCTCTCTCTCTCTCTCTCTCTCTCTTTCTCTCTCTCTCTCTCTCTCTCTCTCTCTCTCTCTCTCCAGCTGGTGCAAAAAGAGATAAAAAAAAGAAGTGTTATCTTTTTTTCCAAGCTGCTTTTCTATTCTGTGTGTAAGTGGTAGATCCCTCGTAGTTACTATAAGTTTTACTTCCCTTTGTCCTCAAGAAAAGACACAAGCTATATCTCAGAGCTGCTACTTGAGTCCGACCCAGATCTTTTCTGAGAACTAGCATGTTGCGTGGAATGCTAACCTAAATGTTTTGTACAAGGGACATACATACATGTATTTGCACTGTCACAGAGGTTATTTCAGCATGCTTCTTTTCAGCATACTTGTGTTGTCGGTATAGAGCCATAATTCATCAACCATTTTGTATGTAGTGATAGCATAATCTGTTTTTACATTTCTGGGGATGGGGGGAGGGGGGTTGGAAAAATGTAAAATCACCAAACCCACTCTTTTTTTCTTCTTAACATGCTATCAAAAGCAGCCATAATGTTTTGTTTTTTTTGAATAGTTACAGACAGTGCATGCACATTACTGAACGTTTGTTAAATATTTGTTATTTTTTAGAAAAACTGAAAAACAACCAAAAAAAAGTAAAAAAAAATACAAAAAATATTCTAACAAACTAACTTTCCAAATGCAGAGGTGTAGAGTCCGATTGACAGCTTTAACACTGCAAAGCGCCAGGTAACACACAGTATTAACACAAGAGATAAACAAAAAAAAAAAAACACCAAAAACAGCCAAAGACTGACACCAAGGACCAAAATCCTGATTTAAACAACTTTTCAAAAGAGGTTTGTTCACACAAACGTTTGGTTATTTATTTCTGCAGGTTTTGTTCACATATTCATGGAACAAAACCAACTTCAGTGTCATAAAATTATTTATTTTAATCTCTTCTGGAAACCGATAGCACTCATCTTGCATTGTGAAATGAGAAGGTGTGAATTAAACATAATGAACATTTCACAGCAGTGTTACATTGTAACTGGAGCAATAATAACTAATGTGACATGAACAGTAATAGCTTCTTTGACCATTTTTGAAGAAATTCTTGGGATATTTTTTGATCTTGTGCATTTTCTCATTACACAAATGTCAGATTAAGTGCCCATTTCAGCTTTAAGCAGTTAAGTTCTTTATTCTTAAAGAGGTGAATGTGAGACTGGGCTTTCACACCAACGCCATTTACAGCGGTTTTATATTTATTTATATCAGAGTATGTCATTTTTTGGGGATAGATAATCAGTCACAGCTTTGTTGTAAACCTTCAATGTAAATCAAACAAACCTCTCATTCGCAGTAAGAGAGCACTTACCCTGACGCACACAAAGGCTCTTCACCCCAAACACCTTGGTGCTACACAGAAGCGCGTTACAAATTCTGACCTCAAGGATCAAGTGGAGGCCCTCAAAGGTTCTGGGCTGTTTTCTCCCTCTGTACTTCCTCATCTCTCCCTTCTTGTCTAAATAAAATACACACCTGCATTCTTGACTCTAAAGGGTTAAACAATCCAAAAAGGTGTCTGACACCCCACTCACGACTCCTCAGAAGCTGTGAAGAAATAGCCTAGCTGTTTTAACACTAGTGTATTTGAAAGTATACAACAAACAATGTGTGTGTTCATCATAATCAGGGCAAAACCTGGGTTAAAAAAAAAAGAAAAAAAACGGAAGACAAACATTATCGCTCAATGATTCTTTGAGAAGCTCTATTTTTTTCTTTCTTCCCTCCTCTATGTGTGTTTTGCTACAAATTCCTCGGTGGCAAACAAGTCTCACTCTACCTCTTACAGCACGATAAGAGCATCAGTCGCGGCGCTGATACTGGTCTAGTCGAAACCAAATGGGCACAAGAGAACAGGAAAATAAAAAACCCAAAGTCGAAGCTCATACAGCTGCAAAACCATATCACTACTTGGTAACAATGCAGACCTCATAAATAAATGAAACATAAATGAATAGAAATGAGAAAAAAAAGTGAAAAAAAAACTTTTGTTATGTTCCTTTATGCCTGTGGCGTTTCTAGAGTACATCAAGAGTTTGAATTGTTTGAACAGATTTTAGAAAAAAATTGTGCTAATTTTAATGAAAAGTGTTGTCGATTCCTATTTCGATGACACAGGCTAAGGTCACAGATAAGAAATGTTGTTTCTCGCTCGCTCTTTTTTCTCCCCTGTTTCCCCTCCACCTTTTTCTCCTTTTCTCTTCTCCGTTGTGAAGACATGCTAAAGTGCTTGTCGACTTGTTCAGCTGGGTAAATTCAAAAGGGGGGGATATACAAAAGAAAAAGCTTGTAAAAAAAATAAATACATAAATAAAAAGACTAAGGCTATGAATTTAGGCATGCCTGTTTTTCACAGTAGGGGGAAATATTTAAATTTCTTACTTAACAAAAAACATGGGGGGAAATGTGTGGGGCCAACACTGAACAGCAAAGGCCGTAGCATTAATCTTGTGGAGTGAGTTGAACTTCAGGGGTGGGAGGGTGTTTATTTTGCGTTCTCTTGAGAAAATTTATTGTGAAAAAAAGAGCTCAAATGATTTGAAGTTGTTGTGCAATACTTAATTGAGACATGAAAACCACAGGTTAGTGGTAGGCTGACACTGAGCGGTCTCTCCATCGCTTAGGGTCAGTGTCCTCTAGAGAGCTTTCCAGTCTACTATGTCAGAACTGTGGTTTCTTGTTGATTTTATTTCTTTTAGTTTCTTTTTTTAAATTCTTTTTTGGGCTGTAAACTATGGTCTGTCAGTCTGTGAAACTTTGCAGTATAATTCTGGTATTGTTGTTCTCTTTACGGTGTAATAAATATGTTAATACCTGCCTCAGAGACTTGAGACTCCTGTTCTTTCATTACAGCAGCAGTATCCAAGATTAGCAACACTATCCAGATAAACATAACCATATCCAAAATTAAAGGGGAATTGTATTAATTTTGCTGCAGTAGCTCTAGTGACAGTTCACATGTCACTAGAGCTAGTGTTCATCCTGTTGATGTCATCCAGGTTGTCTTACATTTTTGGCAGAAATCCTGCATTACAAACTGGAGCTGTGGGGTTTGAAAGAAATAGACATTTGGGTGAGCTGGGCAATGCTGTTGAGTTGCATTATGGGCAATGTAGGAGCCCAAACTAGAAGTGGTAAAGGGCAGGATTATAAAGATGATGAAGTTGTTCCGCCAGACAAAAACAAAGCAGCACAGATTACAAATAAAAAACATTACAATTATAGATCACACACAGTTACCTAGGTTTTTCAATGTGTGTTGAATACCAGCTGTGTGACCATGATGGAAATGTGAAATAGAATGAAAATATCTGCCAATACTGTCTGTTGTTCAGAACGCCCCAAATTCAGTTCACCCAAATATAGAATTACTTTACACACACACGCCAGATGTTTTGCTTACTATATATTATACGGGTATAAATTTCAGACAAAAAACATACTACCATACTATACTATGACATCTTTTGGCAATTTTATGTCTTACTATACCATAACGTTTTATTCCTCACCATGCTATGACGTTTTTATTAACTTTTATGCCTTAATACACTATGAGTTTTTTTTTGACAATTTATGCCATACTATATACTCTGATGTTTTTTGACATTTTTGTGCCATACTATATTAGTACATTTTTGACATTTTTAAGCCTTACTATACTATGTCGATTCATTCCTTACCAAATTAGGACATATTTATGACGTTTTATGCCTTAATATACTATGATGTTTTTTGACATTTTTATGCCATACTATACTATAATGTTTTTTGACATTTTTGTGCCATGCTATAATAGTACATTTTTGACATTTTTAAGCCTTACTATACCATGTCGATTCATTCCTTGCCAAAGTAGGACATATTTATGATGTTTTATGCCTTAATATATTGTGAAGTTTTTTGACATTCTTATGCCATACTATACTATGACGTTTTTTTGACATTTTTGTGCCATACTATACTATGATGTTTTTGACATTTTTAAGCCTTACTGTACTATGTCGATTTATTCCTGACCAAATTAGGACATATTTATGACGTTTTATGCCTTAATATACTATGATGTTTTTTGACATTTTTATGCCATACTATACTATGACGTTTTTTTGACATTTTTGTGCCAAACTATATTAGTACATTTTTGAAATTTTTAAGCCTTACTATACTATTTCGATTTATTCCTTACCAAAGTATAACATATTTATGACGTTTTATGCCTTAATATACTATGATGTTTTTTGACATTTTTATGCCATACTATACTATGACGTTTTTTTGACATTTTTGTGCCATACTATAATATGATGTTTTTGACATTTTTAAGCCTTACTGTACTATGTCGATTTATTCCTTACCAAAGTAGGACATATTTATGATGTTTTATGCCTTAATATACGATGATGTTTTTTTGACGTTTTATGCCATTATACTATGACGTTTTTTTGACATTTTGTGCCATACTATATGAGGACATTTTTGACATTTTTAAGCCTTACTACACTATGTCAATTTATTCCTTACCATACTATGAAGTTTTTATCACCTTTTATACCTGTATATACTATGATGTTTTTTGACATTG